GTGTGTGTGTGTGTGTGTGTGTGTGTGTGTGTGTGTGTGTGTGTGTGGTGTGGTGTGGTGTGGTGTGGTGTGTGTGTGTGTGTGTGAAAAAATATTTAGAGATAAAATGATCCCTCTGACATTTCGGACCGTAATTTCTCGGATTAGGAACTGGGGGTCTACTCTTGTTCTCTGTCTGACGTCCACCCATCAAAATCAGAACACATTACTGCTTGACAGCCAAATTATGTAAAGTAGCAGTAGTTCCCTGCTACTAAACTATTGTTAGCGCTACCGCGGATACGTAGTATCAGGGGAGACGCCTGTTACGAGTAATAGCACGTAAGCTATGCGTGTGCGCGTCCCAAATGAATATACTATTTTCTCAATAAACATTTTTTGCTTTACTAGGTACCTCGGCACGGATACTCAGCTCTTCCTAATAACCCTAGTGGTGTTGCTCATCATCTGGCGCTGGCCGAAGAGTGGAGTCCCCCTCCTGACTATCGTCATGATCATCAGTCTGCTGATTCCATTCTTGCAGACGTACTTCATGAATCTCTTGCCTATTCGAGTTAGCCTCTTCCCTGAGTAAGTACCGAAGGCTTTTTTCATTAAGTACTGCGTTATCAATATACGTTATATTGTTGGGTTCTTCAAGGCTTTTGCGTTTCAATTGCGGTTGAGGAAGATGCAGGAACGAACATAGCGAAAGCCGATAAGAAAAGTTTTGAAGTCGGTTTTTTTATCAAAAAGTTATATATTTTCTACGTTACACATAGTTGTGTATGCTACACAACTATGTGTAACGCACTACTACAGAGCACTGTAAAATACTACCGTGTCAAACCAAAACATTGTTATAACAAAAACAGCATTTTGAGAAAAAGCTGCGAAAAGGGTTTTTCAGGTTTTGTATTTTTTTTGGTTAATAACCTAAAAGATATATTTAAGTTACGTTCTACATTCTACATTAGACATTAAAGTATTCTATCTAATTATTCTATATAATTTCGCTTTGGAAAGTAAGTAATTTCTATTGAAAAACTATAATAAATAAATACATTAACAATAAATTTATCTTCCCTCGTTAACAGCCGAAAGATTCTTGTTGTTATGGAATTATAAAGAATTGTATTGAATTTTGCAGTGTTTTGGTTTGACACGATAAAATGACAGTGTTTTTTATTGTTAAAATTTGAGCCGAGACAAATGTTAGTAGACCCCCGCTCCTGAGACATTTGCGGGATATGAGAGTTTTCGCTAACTCAGGCGCTCCGCAACACTGTAGGCACAGCATATTTCTGCGTACCGTTTTATGCCAAAACAATTTCTACATTTTAAGTATATTTTAATTTTAAAAGCACTTATACCTCCAAAGTTGAAATTTCAGGGTATAGATTACATAGGCCTAGAGAAATCATATGATCGCTGGTAAATCAAAATCCCTGTAAGTGACTTTACAGTTTATTGGTTTGACACGGCAGTATACCTCTCGTTAACGGTGAAGAAAGAAACTGTGATGAAACCATTACGTCAAAGAAGGTTCAAAACCCTTGAAAGGAAAAAAAACGTGCGAAGTTCTTAATCTCCTTAGAGGAGACCCGTGAACAGCAGTGGACATATAATCTGTTGGTGATGATATTGATGATGTCAATATACCTTGATATTAAATAAAATGTCTTCATTTTTAGATCAATAAGAGATATTTTCGGATTCAACGATACCTTCTACCATGCCTACGTGTCAGCGCAAGGTAACTGGGCTGGTTATCATCTTGGAGTCCTCACTGCTTACTTCTATCATAAAGCACAGACCAAAAAGTGGAACCTTGGAGAATCTTTGGTGAGTTGTCTTTGTCCAGTCTTGTGTACATGTAAATAGTTTATATATGCCCATTATATGTAAAAAAATGTTCGATCTATTTACAAAAAAATCCTCGCCTGTTCCACCAGAACAAGAACAATATAGTATAATAAATGTTAGACAACATTACATACATTGCTCTGATGCCAAAGTAAGTAACTAAAACACACAAATACCCAAACCCGAGTATAAGCATATAATTTTAAAATGAAGCAATATGCCCGTAACACATTAACCGCAATCCCTTAAAACCCGTAAAAATATGGTAAAATATATTTTCCATCCTTGCAGGAAAGCAACGTTTCGCCCCTTAATTCACTTCCATCTCTCATTTTTTTTAACAACCCGACCAGTATCTGTTAGTGTTGCCATTTTGTCTCTTTTTAACCTACTTCAATAAAAGGAGGAGGTTCTCAATTCGTCTAAATTTTTTTTGTATGTGTGTTACGCGATAACTCCGGATAAATTTGTAAACTGATTTTGATGATTCTTTTTTTGTTGGAAAGAGGTTACCCCGGTAACGGTCCCATTTGCCCATCTCCCATTAACCGACTTCAATAAAACTTGGCAAATAGATGTAATTCCACGATCTTTGAGGTCGGTTTTTTTACTACTCTGTACTGAGATTATTATTGATCATACTGAATCGAACCGGGAACCTATTCTATAAATCTGATAGCTAATGTAAGCTGGAATAAGCATTTCAAGTCAAATAACCGATTACACAGCTTTTGCTACCACGAGTCTTAGAAAAGCTAGTTTTTCTACATTGAACCAGGCGGAGCTCGAACCCGGGACCTCAGAGATGGCGCCAGTGTGCAACCCCCTCGACCACGAAGATTATCCAAAATACTGCCTATCAATCTGTAGTTCAGTCTGTAGAGCGGTGACCCTAGTTTGGCGTACCCATAAAGGAATTTTTCTTTGTGTTCCATCTTTGTCTTAATAATTATAACAAACAAGTGAAGTAATTTAAACCATATATATGGCAACACTACAGACACATGGAACTTATGTCTCAGAGTGACAGTCGCAGTGTCCCTCGGATCTTTGCGGTTTAAAGCTCTGGACGGTACTGCAATTGCTAAAGACAGACATTTTCGTTGGTATTATGAAAAAATACCTCTGGATCGCTGAGACAATAAAGCAGTAATATAACAATGATCTTCTTTCAGCTGCTGAAACTAATGTTCGTAATATCAATCCCGGTGGCGCTGGGTACCGTATTGATGGGCTGGGACCTGCATCATCGCGAGGCGTCAGCCTTTGAGTCGGCCATCTTCAATTCCTTGAATCAGAACTTCTTCGCCTTCGCCATTTGCGTGTTCATCATTGGATACTTTTACAGGGCAAACAGTAAGACTTTTTGATTGGTTTTAAGAAGTTTAAGGAAGATAACGTAAATGTCAAGAAACTAACTAGTCTGTGGTACATAAAAACGCTTATTATTTTTAATGGATCAATTTAGAAATAATAAAATTCCGACAAAATTGAGATAAAATAACTTACTTACATATGGCAACCCTGCCAACGACCGTCATATCATGGGATCACGTCAGATGACTGATTAAACATTTTTTCCCCATCCTCTAAGGGCGCTCTCTCATCGTAAACATTCACCTGTAATGTAACATTCAAGATTCGTTTCCGAGCATTACATTACAACCTACCTCCTTCACCGACGAGTATTCGCCTGTAATGTAATATCCAAGATTCGCTTAGGCTGCGATTCGAGGCCAAGCGAATATTAGCTAAGATTTATCCTTTCTTAGAGTACATTTCGTATACAATAAACCGAATTCTTTTACCTTATGTTTGAAGTGTTAACTGGCTCCGATATATATAATAATAAAAATAAGATTGGACGTGAGATAATAACTTTAATCAATTTAAAATAATTCTCCAAACTTTTTTGTTTCTACATGATGCAAGTGAAGGTAAATCAGGTCACTGTACCATGGTGATGTTAGGGGGAAAATAATGAGTCGTTAGTTGGTAGATTAATGATTATATGGTAATTGGTAAACTTAGTGTTTTGATACGTATATCTTTGTGCCATCTGGCACAATTTAATAATTTCTTTGCTTGCACCAAGGCGTGCCTAAATATTGAAAGATGATTTGGCATTGGCACGTCTGGTAACTGCTACGTAACATAATGTGTTAAGAAAATAAACAACACAAAGAAAAATTCCATCGATCTGACCGGATTCAAACCAGCGTCCATTACCACCGCTATTACAAACTACAGCTCGTATCAGTAGATGTTACGAATTTGTCTATGTGCTTGTTGCATTATGTTTGTATTGGGTTTAAACGGTATTTTTACCATCAGCGCCATTTTTAAGAAATTTATAAATTCTTCATCTAAGTTTCTCCAAGATCGAAGGCTCTTTGTGTTATTATATGAATCTATAATAATAACAAACTATTGGGGTATTTTCCCAAAAAAAAAAATTATTATGAATATTACATTACTAAAAGCATTATGACATTCAATAGCATAAATATTGCAAATATTGTTTCACAATTTGTTTAAAATTACATTAATCATAATTGTTAATACAATATAACAAACTTATGGAGTTCTTTCAAAAAAAATTGAATATCTAAAAATTTCATACGTAAATTATATTTCAAAATTTTCGAGCTGTTAGCAATGCTCATTTTGTAAGTAGTCGAATGAGATGAAATATAAATTAAGTTGTTTCATTCGAAAAACAAAAACAAAGATCTGACTTTTTCTTTTACTGTTTCCTTTCTTGTTTTTATGTAAAAAATTTTAGTTTTATTTTAGTTAAATGTAAAATATTATTATTTTTTTTAAATATCAAGTGACGGGACGAACAAGTCGTACGCCTGATGGTAAGCTACACGCCTGTCCATAACAGTTGCAGTACCACTCAGAGCTTTTAATCGCAACGATCTGAGGGGCGGACTGCGACTGCGCCCGTCACCTTGAGACATAAGTTGACAAGTCCCATGTGCCTGTAATTTCACAAGCACCCTTACTCTTCAAAACCGGAACACAGTAATTGTGATATTACTGCTTGGCGGCAGAAATAGGTACTTCCCTGGACGAACTCTTTCACAAGGAGTTCTACTGCTACTAAATATTAAATATAATAAATATTTTGGCCTATCTTCATTGAAAATATTATCAAATAAATAGAAGATTTGTTATTTATTCCTTTTATTATATCATCTTCCACTATTTTAGTTGTTTCTAATAATTACTTCCTATTTCTCAGAAATCTACGTAGACTCCGTGGAGTGGGGTCCATTGCAGCCTTTAGGCAGAATGTCTTACTGCGCCATGTTGGTACACGCCACCGTATTAAGAACTTACGGTGGACAATTAAGGAGGTCATTTTATGCCACGGATTATACTGCAGTAAGTATTTTGGAATAAGTTTCAATTTGATTGGTCACTTAATCTGATCTACCATTTGATTGACCCATGAAGCAACACAAAATTCTCTTAAATCGAAAAAAGGTAACCAACCTCTTTTGGGAATTTAATACTCTGAAAATTAGGTGCACATATTTGAAAAATAACAATGTACTGAGAGCGGCGTGAAAAAAAATCTAGTGACAAAGGTAGAGAAAGACATGCTTAGGCGGTTCGAACACTTAGAGAAGATTGACGAAACAGATTTCTATGGCGAATGTGAGCAGGAAAGTAGTTTCAGCATCAGTAGAACTACCACCACTACAGCTATCTATTATTGTGAGCATTACTGCATTACGGTTTTGAAAGGTACTGGTGAAAGTATGGGCCAATGGGACTTGTCAATTTGGTGTGACAGGTACAGTTATTCCAGCCGATAAGGGTAGATCATGAGTAGACGTGCCGCTTACCACCTGACAAGGCGCACGACTTATTCGTCCCGTCACTTGATATTTAAAAAAGCCGGTATGGGGCGATCAAGGTGAAATTACCAAATTATCACAAATTGGGGATGTCCCAAAGAAAGAATAGTAGAGTCCCTTTACGTGACGAGTGTACGAAAGCATGCATGCATTTTGTTGAGGTGTAAGATATCTGTTAGGATCGTAGCATGTGAAAATTTGTGTCCTGGCTTAACCCATTGAGAAATGGGCGCGAAGGGTTTGTAATCAGAACTTACGACTACATTTTCATTCTTTTTTTTCAGATCATGCTTTTCGCCGGTATAGTCTGCACAACCTATCTCTTCTCTCTTCCTCTATATCTCTTTGTGGAAGCCCCAGCCTGTCAACTTCAGAAACTTCTTCTGGGCCCGAAAAGAAGACCACAGAGGAAAGAAGAACACGACGCTAATGCAAACCAGGTGAAGCCTGGAATATCAACTGTGTCAGTATCTACAGTATCTACTCATATTTAGGTTCTTATTCGAATACTACCATTAATTAAGTCATAAGAGGGCACGTAAGGTATTTGAAGGCTTACAAGTTTGAACAAGGACTTTCAATGCAACAATATTTTCAATTCAGTATTAGAGTTGCCACTTTACTACACAACAAATAGCTTTGCCTTTAGATTAAGTTAAACTATTTACGACACTATCTCGAATTCTTATTACTTTGTTTGTAGTAATATTCTCCACAATTATCAATCAGAGTAAGCTAACAAATCCCCTTTATACCATGATTAAATAAATTTTAAAAGTAGGCCAGATAACACCTCTAATTTGAAAATCTAAAGGCAACTTTTACTGTCTTATTCTCCACAATTAAACATAATGTATTCATTTCTAGCTTACTTTCGATTGTGATAAAAGTGAAGAATAACTAGCCAGTATAGTAAACTTACCATAATTTTAAAATTCTCTCAATTGTGTTGTTATTCATATTTAATCATACCTACCTAGTTATTCTTCACACTTAGTAATAGTATGCTCACCGTTTCTTTGCATTCAACTACTTTACACTAGTTTGTCTTGCATTTTTACTACCTCACACTATGTATAGTTAACTGTGAAGAATAACATACTTAGTGTACAACATTTAGCATAGACTAAAGGCAAGTTTAAATGGGTTGTTCTCCACTTTATTCATAGCGTATGCTAGATACACAATGAATAAAGTGGAGAAGAACCCATTGAGCATAATTTCAAAACACTTAACTGGGTTATTTTTCACAGTATATTTACAGTTTGTTAACTGGGAATGCATTTAACTTGCTTCACACTAGTTCAGTGCCTCCAGTGCAAAACGGAATAAGACGAGTTTTGCCCTTTTATTTTTATTGCATCTTTGGCTTCAGCGTGCCCGATTAAATAACAAATCAAAAGGACATCTCTAGCAGTCTCCGAACGTCGCTTTTTTATTGCACTTAGGGCATAACTCACTGTTTCAAATGGCATATTTTTAGTTATCAGGCATTTTTTATGAGTCTAAAGGTAAAAGTGGTCTCAAATAAAAAAATACATGCAATTTAATGAATAACTACAGATATATTTTCACATAAAGACACTTTTCGTATTATTCCATAACGACGGGGAGAAAAGTAGGACTAAAAGCGACTATTGCCATATTCCACACTGTACTTAAAGGTGAGAATTACGCTTGTTCCACTCGACAAGATTGGTTATACTCGCGACTATATCGTGTTGCTATTGGTTAATAGTTCGCTACAGACAACTTGTTGTTTTATTCATTTAACGATTTTATATCTTTTATCAATGCGCTTAGTATAATAAGTGTTGTTATAATTATAGAACAGTCACAATTAAGGGAATAGTCGTTTTATGTCTTAAAATTTGTTAACTTAAGTTGTGTTATTAGCGTTAAGTACTCATAAACAAGTACGTAACACGAAACAAACTTTAAAAAATATAGAATATATGACTGAATGTTTAACTAACACTTATCAAAGGAAAGCTTAGGTGTACACCTAAAGCTAGAAATCATAAAAATAAAAGTATGGTCTAAGCCTCTCCTGAAAAGTGTCGATTTAGAGTTATTCCCTTTTTCACAACTAAGTTTACCCTTGCCTTGTTACTATTTCATATTACAGTTATCTGTGAAGAATAGTTCAGTTAGAACCATTGACTTACAATTATATAGACGTCAGGTCCGCGCTAAAAAGTGTCAGAACTTATAGGGCGTTAAAATCGTATACAGAGCGTCATTCACGCTTTAGTCTTCGTTTGTTCGACTGACAACGAAGCAAGCAAAATTAGACAGTACTGCGATGACATTACAATTTAAATTCAACGTTTTAGCTTCTTCATATTCCTTTACATGTCACTACGTTTAAATAGGTTGACTTGGGACATTTTTTTTGTGGTTTTTGTATTAGACCCGTCTTCCATTTATTTGTAAGTCAATGGTTAGAACACGAAATTTAGCATAATCTAAAGGCAGACTATCAAAACAGGTATTGTGATTGATGTCTAATTGGATATTTTACTTGGCGAACCCAACTTACGTGTGCTCTCGGATGTTACAATCGTAGCCTTAAGAGACACGGAGTTGATTTGACAGAATAGTACTACAAGACTTACTTCTCTATGAAAACTAGTCCGACTGAATTTAATTACATACATAAAAAAATACTCAAGACAAGCAAGAATGGATTTCATATTTCATAATATTTTGCTAGATGAAGGATGGATCTGTGACAACGTTCTTTATTTAAATAATATTAGCATGAAGTTTGACAGCCTTCTGATTGGTTGTCTTTTCTCTGACAGGTTAGGTTAAGCGATCCTATTGGTCAACTCGACTCCGTTTGCCTCACACCAGCTCAAGAACATTAGTCATGTTTTAAAAGGTATTGATAGTATTATATCAAAGTAACTGATGTGTGATGTTTAATGCAAATACCTTGCAATTAAAAATTAGTGTTATTTAATTGAAATAGGATGGCTTTTTGAATATTTTTTTCTTTATTGTGAAATTTAAAGCACTATAATTTTCAATTAATTTCAATGAAAATTTTATTGTGAATGATAATGAAATGTAAAATGATTTCCAAAGGAAATTTCTACAGAATTTGACTAATTCAAATTTTGTATTGTTATTTCTTATTTTTCGTATCGTGTCTCTATTCATTAATTGTAATAACTAGTAATAAGTGATTTTTTTCAGGGCAATGTATTTTCGTTATAGTACTTCACATCTTCAATTGTATATGGCTCGTAACTATCTCTTTCTATCAAAGAGTTATATTTATATATTAAAAAGATCAGCATAGGTACAACAATTAATGGAGATTATTTTTTTAATCGTAAAACGGCTTGCCACGGTCCTGGATTATAATAATACCTGGCATAAGATCGCACCTGCAAAGCTATGGGAAGAAGCGCGCGAAAAGTGCACGGTGATTGATTGTCATTCACTAATTAGTCAATTGTTAATATGAAATAGGCGGGTCTGGTGTGTGGCTGTTGGTGGTCATTAGCCGTGAGAGGTTGCCTTCAATTACAACTAAAATGTCTGATAATGCAGATAATTAGTACAGGTAAATCATATAATTATATCGTATGCTTTGTATATTGAAGTTACATGTGATCATATGTCAAAAGTCCTCTTTTCACATGAAAGTGATAAAATAATATGAACTATTTAAGAACAAAAGTTATCGTCTAGGAAATGGAACTAATTTTTCGGAAGTAAATTGCGTATATTTGTTTTTTCAAACAAACCAACGTTTCGGGCCCTTTATAGGGCAATTGAAATTAAAAAACATCTGAATTTCAACAGGGAAGATGGTTTCTCCGTACCATCAGTTTGAGATTCAGTATCTCCTCTGAAAAAAAATCAAAAGCAGGCATAAGACTGCAGTACTAATTAAATTGTTTTATTTTATTCTAATTACCATTAATGATTAGTAATGAAATTTGATTAATAATCTACATTGTTAAAATAAAATATTTGTAAAACATATGTAGCGAAAATTGGAATGTTCTTTGAAAATTTAAAAACAAGGTATTTAATTAATAAATTTTGTAACAATAGTGAAGAATAGGATGGTTTGCATTAATATTAGACACGGTTGTCGACTTTATCAACGCAGTCACCTGTGACCAAGGGACCTGGAATGGGCCCAAAACGTTGGTTTGTTTGAAAAAACAAATATACGCGATTTTAGATCCGAAAAAATAGTTTCATTTCCTATGTGTAATAATCGCGAAAACCTAAGAACTTCTACTAATATCTGTCGTAGAATCTTTAAACCTCATTCCTGAAAAGTCGTCATTTTGCAGATATGACTTTATTACACCAAGGGTGCGACATATTAATTGTAGACTTGGAAATTACTTCTTTCTATGATCAAGAAAGAAAATTTCAGTAAGAATTTTTTTTTTACTTCTATATCCTTTCAAAAATTTGTTTGTGAATCTCACATGAATAAATATGGATAAGATTTTTTAAATTAGTTCAATAAGTCTATAAAGTTTTTTTAATATTGTAATTACAATTTTATATTTAAAGAGGCTTCCGAGGTATAGGTAACGTTTTGTACATATAACTATTTTATAAAAACTTGTAAAAAATATATTTTTTTGTTTATTTTTTCCTTTATCTTTATTTTTATCTTTTATCATAAAATCGAAATAAAAGTATTCCAGACAACTACTACACTTACGTGGTCTCAAACTGGGTTTTATGAGTATCCGAGCAAAGGAATTCAGTCGGGAGCATTATTCGGAGTTCATTTCTCAAATAAATTGGTCATATCGGGAATGGAACCCGGGCTCTCCTTATCAGCGCACAAGGTACAAACCGTTGGGCCACCGAAGCGTCAGAAATTAACATTCATCGTCATCATCCTATCAGCCGAAAGACGCCCACTGCTGAACATAGGCCTTCCTCAAAAATTTCCAGACTATTCGTAGTTCGTGGTCTCCATTCGAGAACCTTTCTGCCTCAACGGCCGTCCGTTCTGCGAGCTATGTGCCCTGCCCACTGCCACTGCAACTTGCTAATTCTTTGAGCTATGTCGGTGACTTTCGTTCTTTCACGGATCTCCTCATTTCTGATTCGATCACGTAGAGAAATGCCGAGCATTGCTCGCTCTATAGCTCGTCGAGTGACGAGCTTTTTGGTGGGATCCATAGTAAGTGACGACGTCTCAGAGCCCGTAGGTCATCGCTGGCAACACGCACTGCTCGAAGACTTTTGTCTTCAAGGACTGCGGACAAGAAGACGTCTTGGAGCTTCCCGAAAGCTGCCCAACCGATTGAGATTATATAATTTGTAATAAGAAACAAACATGGGTGTATGGGTTAAATAGCATGGAGTACACAATCTAGAGCAAGAGACGGGATTAAGAAATCGTCTGCCTGTTAGTACGCGATACACAACAGTTGAAGTTCCACTTAGAACTCTAAATCGCTAATATTTAAGCTGCACTACCACAGCACGCATCACACTGAGACATAACGTTGACAAATCCTTTGTGTCTGTAATTTCACCAGCACTCTACGGCTTGGCGGTGGAAATCGGTAAGGTGGCAATAATTTCCTGGACGAAATCTTTCACAATCTCCACTGCTTGCTACTCATAGTTTATTTTAATTGGTGTACGCTAACCTGCTCCAAACAGGGGCGATATAATTATGTCTAACAAGGCTAGATTAGGGTAGCATAAATGCGTAGATTAGTGCGTGGGCTTAATTCGGATTTATGGTTCTCAAAACAAAAGGGTATCGCATTAGGCGTTTTGAGGTCTTTTGCAATTAGAGGCTCTGCATTTAGAGACCAGTTTACGTTGTTGTCTAGTATAGTTCGAAAATTTTGTTTCATGATAATGGGTAATTATCTATTATGATTGTTGTTTTAACAGTAAGTGTTTGCGAGTAAACATTATAGTATTTAATTTTTTATGGAATTGATATTCAATTTTTTTTTATGTGAAATTACTCCACTAGTTTGTTATAATTATTAATACAAAGATTGAACACTCAGAAAAAATTCCTTCGATCCGAATCGACGTCTTCTAGCATACCATGCCAGACGCTATACCAACTTAGCTACGGAACGAACCAGCGGACCTCACGAATTTTTCTGTGTTTTGTTGTCGTGTCTTTGAATTTTGGTTTTTCAACGACTTTTTCAACGTAGCGCCATCTATAATAAACCTTAAGTATTTCGTCATTCCGTTAGATACCTTTACAGCTACTATAGCACTGTTTTTTTCATTTTCAATTTTAATTTCAAATTTGGGAAAAAAACACAATGTACAATATGACTGATAATTGTAGTAGAGAGGAAGAGGCGTGTGAATTTGTATCTATCTGTCTCAATAAAGTGCCTACGTTATTAAGATAGAGAATGAAAAGATTGGGTCCAAGGAAGGATCGTTGAGGTACTCTCTAATAGTGCAAGGAATTTCTTTTCTTAGAGCAGAAATCGTCATGTTGCTGGCCTGTAGGTGGAGCTCGATCCTATCTTTTGTACTATTTGTTGTGCTTTGTCGTCTTTACTTGGTGTGTTTCTATATTACAACTAATCAGTTTCACTACTTTTACTATTAGATTTTTTTTACTATTAGAGTACAGATAAATTTAAGTTCGACTAACTATGATTACTTTTGTTATAGACTTCTTGTTTCATATTGTATTTACCACAAAAGACAAACAGCTATATACTGAACATCTGTCCTTTTCACCCACATCTCTCTCTCGTGTGTTTATGATTCGCCGTAAAAACGGCTTTTGATGCGAGCGCACGAGTAGCAGAGCGAATATCGGGCGCACTGTTCACATACGCGCTTTCGCGTTTCACTTCGCCATTCGCCTCGCCACTCTCACGAATGTGAATATGCGGCGAAGCCTTTCGTGCCCATATTATTGCTCATATTTAATAAATATATGTCATGTATATTTCTTTATCTACACACATATCATAAACTCTCTATAATGTGTTCAAAAACCACAAATTACGACCAGCATAAAGGTAAACTCTTTCTAAACGTTAAACGTTTTCTTAGAACAAATTTCTTATTATTCGAATTCGATGTTATTATTACATTCAAATTTCGAACATCTCTGAAAAACAAAAGTATATTGTGTAACAAGTGCATAAAATGCGTTATTTTACCCGAGACGTGTATATTCAGCCGAGCCGCAGGCGAGGATGGATACTTAAGTCGAGGGTAAAATGGGGTTTATGAACGTGTTATACTCTTTGCTTTTCACTTCGATTGCGAGGAAATGAAACAGCAATATTACAAATAAACGATTATTTAATTAAAATTGAATGTAAAATTACAACAATTAAACATGTAACACGGATTTATAAAAATGAAAGTAAAACTTAATTTTATAAAGTTCTAGTGTGCGTGGCTGTTGGTGCAGGCGTCATTGCCTCGGTCTTAAACGACGATTTTATTTTATGCAATAGAGCATAAATCCTATTTTATGCAGCCTACACCCAGCATAAATACGAACTTTAAGAGCATGAGAAGTGAAAAACAATTTGATTGGACATCAATTCTAATATCAGTCGAGATGAAGTTTTATTCAAAATGAAATGTCAATAGCAAGCAATTTTGACAAATTTCACACGTTGCTTGATTTCGAACGATGTGATAGTTGGGGCCGACTCTAGTTTGTCTATGAATTAAAAATAAAAACTACGGTTGTGTGACATGCGTGAGAAAAGTTTTTATTTGCCGCTATTTCGCCAGTTATAACATGCGGTTCCTGAACACATTACAGGGAGCTTATAATATGTGTGTAGATAATGCAGTGTATGTCCGGCTGAATGCGGACGGCACAGGAACGGGCGAGTTGGCGTGCTCAACGGAAGGGTTATTAGCAGAAGTTGACGTATTTAAGATTAAAAAGAAATTGGTTATTTGGGATCATCACGGCAGAGTACCTAGAATACTGGCAATATTAATACGATGGACAAAGTAACTGGCAACCTTTAGATATTCTAATTGAGTATTTGAATCTAATTTTACATAATAAATGAGCATTGGATCCTAGAGCACTGTTTTAAATCTGAGGGATGTTACGAATTTGGAATATTTTGCTTTAATCCATCAGTGTGTATTTAATTTGAAGCAAAAGTTGAAATACCAAATTTTGCCCTTTTCGTACACTGTTCTTAATGTTTTGGTTTAAAGACTTGTTTTAAAGCTTGTTTTAGTTCAATATACGCATTCTCTTTGTGAGTGTTATACA